GACATCAGTTCCCATATCCATCAATCCAGTGAGAGCTTTTCCATTTAAATTAGTACAAGTAGGTCTACGAACTGAACTAAAATATCCTGGGAAAAATAAAGATCCAAGCTCGTTCTATTCAGGTTCAATCTTGAGATTAAGAGTAGGAGTGATAATTTCAGTAGGAATTAAAGTTGGCTTTTCTTCCCCCAACACATGAATGTGACAAGCTGCTGGTAAGTCTAATTCTGCACTCTGATTGATCTGATGGACCAGGGAAACAAGGGAAGCAAAGGAACTGTTGCTTGTCTGATTTAGACAGGATATAACTGACTTGGATGGTTCCAAATCATTGGCATACTGATTTCTTAATTTTATTACTGGTTTCTTAATTTGATTGTAATCCTCTATTTGGGCACATGGTTTTCTGCAAAAGTGTGCCATTTTCATGAAATTTAGATTTATAATGTTTCTTCCAATTTAAGCCTTTCATACAGTATGGACACAGATTGGGCACAGCTTGAGTAGCCAAAGAGACTGGTGCCTTCAGAGGTGCTGTATAGTGTCAGCTAGTCTGTTCACATTTGCCACAATTAAACCATTTAATCATATGAAGTTTACTGTCAAGGTTTTGGGATATACCTTGTGCCATAAGCGTAGATGCATGGGCAGTAGATCCAAAATTTTGGCATGCATGGATGCAAACAGATAGATCTTTGGTGTAAACTAATGCTTGTTTGCATTCATTGTTGGCATTTTCATGTGCTAACAGGCAAGCAAGTACTTTAGCAGCAGCTTTGTGAGAAATCTGCCTATTTACAGCCTCTTACAATTGTGCTGCAAACTGGGTATAAGTTTCTGTGGGACTCTGGAGTATCTGAGTAAAATATTTATTGGGTGTGCCTTCCTCTGCGATAGAAAGCCACACACAGTGTAGGAGCTCTGCATTGCATGAAAAGAAGGGGTAGGGCTGGGACCTGAATATTTGAATCAGTATATCTGCCCATGCCAAATAACATTTCCTAACATCTTTTAAGCTTCTGTTCCCACTATCTTATTTTGAACTTGTTCTGAAATGAATGACTTTATATGTGATTTAAAGTATAGAAATTGCCATGATGATACATATGTGCAAGCAAGATGAGTTGTATCATCTGGCACCATTTCAAAACCTTGAATTAAGTTATGTAAGCAGCACAGATGGGGGACCTGGACTCCACTGTCTAGAATGCTCTGCTTTAATTCTTCTAAGAACAAGAAGTTGAAAGCTATGTGCACACTGCACTTATGAGTAGGATGTTCTGGATCTGTCTCGTTAGTGACTGGAAAACATTCTAGCTGTGCATGTATTCTCATATCATTGTATTTATTACTCTTTTTTGAGGATGGAGAGAGGAGGATTGTTACCAAGCTGACTGTGGTATGGGAGAGGGTCTGTGGGAAGTACAGCAGTGGAAGTGTTATCTTCCAAGTTGGAGAAAAAAGCCAAGTGTGTGAATAAATTGGAAAAGTTTCACCATTGTTTACAGATATCTTGCAGAAATGAACCTGCAAACAAAAGCCTTGACCCAGGATCTAACCTAGATTTTATTAATTCAAGAAGGGGGTAGCTGGAGATTGAGGGAATGGCAAAATTATGTGAGTATCATGAGCTGGGCAAGCTAGAAGGCCAGAAAGCACCTCTGAATATGCAGAGAGAAGGATATACAGAAATACCAATATGCATAGCACAATTCAGGTAAAATTTAGTGTTTAGGTGGCAGTGCTTCAGTTCTTTTTGGTTTAAATTTTTTTTATTTAAGGAGAAAACAAAACAGTAAAAGCGTACAAGTAATACAGAATTTCAAAAAAATAAACAGTAAGAAATCACTAGTTAATAAATTACTTATTGAAGGGGCTGGGGATTTAGCTCAGCGGCATAAGCACCTGCCTTGTAAGCAGGCAGTCGTGAGTTCGACCCCCGGTACCGATAAAAAGAAAAAAATAATAAATTACATATTGTCATCTTAGAAATAGTTGATCAAGTTACAAAATTAAGCATACAAAGTGGACATTCAAACTGTGAAACTGCAAACAGTTGTGTTCAATGATCCAACAAAAACTTAGTAATATAAACACACTTGCAGTCGTGCCCTTTAGATCACTTTCCTTTCCTCTCTTTTTTACAGTAACATTTAAACATTTTGGGTTTTATTACTCCCATAGTTCTTACTACTTTTTTTGGAATAGAATAAAACCAAATGTGACAAAGCAAAGCAGAGTCGGTCAAAACAAAGGGTGGACATAGTACATGATATAAAAACAGAATACCAGGTAATCAACAATGGTTACCATAATGCCCCTTGATACCTTAAAAATAATTGCCTATAGTTCTGATGTGCAAACTTTTGTGCCCTGGGAAGTCATCACCTCTTATCTCAAGGCTCAAACTCAGTCGACAGCCCTGGAGCACTGGCCTGGCATCCTGCTGGACTCAACCCTTTAGGGAAATGTGGACATGAGTGTCGCCTAGCTTCAAAGGTCATGCATCAGTACTTCAGTGAGCCCTGTTTACATTGCTTAGAGCCAATTGAAAGGAAAAGGAAGTAGCTTAGCCAGCTCTGTATACATTAGTACATGGAGATAGGGCCAGGTTTAGCCAAAGTGGAGGTAATTGCTTTTTTTTTTTTTTTTTTTGTCTTGTTGAGACGGGGTCTCACTATGCAGGCCTTGAGCTCACTTTGTAGCCCAGGCTGATCTCAAACTCACAATGATCGTTTGCCTCAGCCTCCTGAGTGCTGGGATTACAGGCATGAGCCACCCTGCCTGGTGATAATTGCTCTTTATTCAAGCAGAATCATTCAAGTGGTCTTCTACATAATGGTATGCTTATCCCAAGTTACTTTAGACTCAGAAAGTAATTTTAGAAGCAGATAGAAGCATAAGATGCCTTCTGCTCTGTCACATCAAGGGAGAATCAAACCAGTTTAATAAGAAGAAAAATACATGTTTTGCTACTTGAAAATAGGATCCAGTGGGCAAGGAAAGACTGAAGAAGACAGAGAGAGGGATGAGACTTGCTAGAGTGACTTCCTTGAATAGATGAAGTGGTGGGAGGGCTAGCACAAGAGGAAAGGCTCACCTCAGGAAGAGTGTGGACAGTCCATTTAGGAAACAGGACTTTGCATAGATGTTATAGATATAGTGACAGAAAAAAGTCCAGAAATGGGTCAGTAGGAAGATAAATTGTTTGTGGAACTTGGGCAAGTTTTCTTTGCTTTAGAGTGCTTTAATTATGCCAGTTTAAGTAGGAAGCAATATTGTACCTGCAAGTAATTTTGGTGAGGAAGTACTAGAGCTTTGATAAGAGAAGTTAGAAGGTGCAACAATCATTCAGGAAATGCAGGGAGTGTAATAAATTAGAGAAACTGATAATTGTGAGCTTTAAGGTGAAACTGATATCATGTGTTTCATTTGAAAGATAGATTCAAGGTTCATGATGAGCAAAGTACACCCAAATGTAAAAGAAAAAGCAGCTACATTTGCTGGAGATAACAGGAAGGTGTGCTCAGAGAAGATCCATGCCAACAGGCTAAAAGGTAGCACAAACAGAAAATGTGTGCCGTGACAGCAGAGGAATAGGACAAATGGGGAGATAAAACAGATTTCAGGATTTTAAAAGATGTTCATCCTAACCTGGATGCCTCTCATTGGATGTCTAGATAAGGTTGTCAGCAGTAGGTGCTGAATCAACTCAGGGGCTCCTAATATGCACGACTGACCCAGAGTTCACTTTTTATTTACATACATGATATGTAGTTCCTATGCATGAACTTTTAAGGAGATTCAGGCAGAGAAAAGGTTACTGAAGCTTAGGCTACCAAGACCTAACACTGGTATGTTTTGGCCTGGAGCTTCAGATAGTTCCAGGGTTTTTGTTATTTTTTATTTCTACTCCTCTTAGAACAAAAGAAGGAGGATTGGCCCTGGGGCTTTACCCAAATTCAGGTGGATGGAAGGGAGTGGTCTCCCATGTAGTTGTGATACCCACACAAAGACCAGTCAAGAGAGAGTGTATGTCAAACTACATTCTGATTATCTAAATGGAGACCAAGAAGTGGACCTCACCAACATTGTAGGCTAGCTAAGGAAATTGTACAAGAAAAGAGAAAGAATGATTTATAATGAATGACAAAAACAAAACAAAACAAACATTGTGCCAGTCAAAAAACAGGAAAATAAGGATTACAAGAAGGTGAAAATGTGAAAACAATTTATTCATTCACCTTTTTTGCCTGATTGAGTAGGTCTCGAGTGGGGCCTGGGAATTTACATTTCTAGCCAGTTTCCAGCTGTACTAGTGGTCATATGGAGATCACACCTTGGGAACTATGGCTTTTGACCCTATCTTCTATGGAACAGAATCACCCAGAATTTTTGTTGTTTGGTACTTAAGATTGAACCCAGGATCTTTGCACTAATCTGCTTCTCTAGTCCTTTTTTTAGTTTTTTCTTTCGAGAGAAAGTCTCACTAGGTTGCTGAATTGCTCAGGTAGGGCTCAAACTTGTAACTCCTACTTCAGTCTTCCAGATTTCTAGCATTGCAGGTCTATACCATGCTCAGCTACCTAAGGATATTTTTTAAAAGGACTAATACCAGTCTCATTCCTTCAACCATTTATAACAATTGTGGGTGTGGAACTCCAAGTGATTCAAATATTTAGCAAAGTTTGAGAGTCTCCACTTTGAAAATCTAAACTATTTAGCCTTTGAGATTGAGCAGTGTACCCAATGGCAGACTTTTCATCAATTTCATAATAATTTAACTAAAAATGGTTTTAACAAAATTAAAAGTGCATACTATTTGTATTATCTAGCTTCAGGCTATCTTGTACCATTTCTAGTCTCTTTGTTGTACTTTCTGAGAGCCACAAGAACAAGTCAACCAAATTGACTTTCCTAACATTTTATACCTAAACCCCCAAATGTAACTTAGTGACTGATTTTCACTGTGAAAATATTTACTATATCATTTTTTCAAGGAACGAAGTTGAAGCTCTGACATGAATGAACAAGGAACTCTGCCTGAAATGATCAAAGACTGGACAAAAGATCATGTTAAAAAATGGATAACAGAAGAACTTAAGATTGATGAAAAATATGGACAAATTCTGTTCAATGAAGAAGTCACAGGATTAGTCCTACAGGAATTAACTGAAAAGGATCTCAAAGAAATGGGGCTGCCACGGGGTCCAGCACTTTTGATAAAACGTATGTATAACAAACTGAATACAAGTTTCCCTGAAAGTGACAACCCCAATTCCAGACAAGTACATGATACAAAATCCTCCAAAAAAGAACATCAAAAAAAGCCAAATCTGGAGAAAGAATTAATGCCATCCAGTATAGATCAAGATCTCAGCGAGAGCAGGAATATCAAAGACCAAGACTCTATTCCTATGGAAGAGAATGCAGCAAATGAAGTATCAAACACTATTGACAAGAAAAAGAATAAACTAAAAACTGAAAATTTGACCTGCCCTCCATATCCTTTTGATAACTTCCACGATGGCCAAAGATACATAGAACATTATATCCTACAACCTGAAACAGGACCACTCAATCTCATTGACCCAATACATGAATTCAAAGCTCTCACAAATACAGAAAATGCCACAGAAGAGGACCTTAAGATGAAATTTAGCAATGAAACCTTCCGATTTGCATCAGCGTGTATGAATTCACGTACCAATGGTACCATCCATTTTGGAGTCAAAGACAAGCCCCATGGAGAAATTGTTGGTGTGAAAGTCACCAGTAAGGATGCCTTCATTGATCATTTCAATCTAATGATCAAAAAGTATTTTGAAGAAAGTGAGATCAGTGAAGCCCAGAAGTGTATCCGGCAGCCAAGGTTTATAGACGTCTTACTGCAGAACAATACTCTATCAGACAGGTTTGTCATTGAAGTGGATATCATTCCCAAATACTCGGTGTGCAAAGAAAAGTATTTCTACATTAAGTTGCAAAGTCTTACAGATAAAACATGGAAACAAAACCAAAATCTTTCACTATTTGTGAGAGATGGAGCCAGCTCCAAGGATATACTGGCCAATGTCAAGCGACGGGAGATAGAGTTTAAAGCATTTTATGAAAACTTAAAGTCATGTGCAGCAGCTAGAAAAGATGCAGAAGAAGAACACCAAATGAAGACAACAAAGAGAGAAAGTGAAGGACTAAAGTTGGTTAAACTTCTCATTGGAAACCGAGACTCACTGGATAATTCATACTACAACTCATATATTCTTGTAACAAATAAATGCCATCCAAATCAAATGCAGCACTTGGATTTTCTAAAAGAAATTAAATGGTTTGCTGTGTTGGAGTTTGATCCTGAATCTAGGATCAATGGAGTGGCCAAAGCTTACCAAAAAAGCCGAGTAGCAAACATGCACTTTCCAAATCAGTATGAAGAAAAGAAAACCACCATGAGACAGAAGATTTCTAGTCTGAATCTATATGAGCAAACCAGCTGGATCTTCTGTAATGGCAGATCAGACCTGCAAAATGAGACATACAAACCTCTAGAAGCACATTTATGGCAGAGAGATAGAGCATGTGAGGTTAGAAAACTGATTTCATTTCTCACAGATGAAAACTTAATGGCAAAAGGGAAATTCTTAGTGGTGTTCCTCTTACTGTCTTCAGTGGAAAGCCTAGGAGATCCATTCACTGAAACTTTCTGTGCTTTCTATCAGGCTCTCAGAGGAATGGAAAATATGTTGTGTATTTGTGTCAACTCAAAGATTTACCAGCGTTGGAAAGATCTACTGCAAACAAGATTAACAATTGGAGATGAATTATCAAAACACAGTGTCTCCACTTTAAATATAGAACTAATAAACAGTACTATCCTTAAACTAAAATCGTTGACTCAGTCATCAAGAAAGTTTTTGCCCTCCTATGGATCTTCCTCAGTTATCCTAGAGAAAAAAGAAGAGGATCTCTTGACTGCACTCCAAATCCTTTCTGAAAATGAATGTAAGGAAACAGATATAGAGAAAGATAAATCCAAATTCCTAGAATTTAGGAAATCAAGAGAAGAACACTTTTATCGAGGAGGCAAAGTATCCTGGTGGAACTTCTACTTTTCTTCTGAAAACTATTCTTCAGCTTTTGTTAAAAGAGACATGTATAAAAACCTTAAAGATTTAATAGAACGCTGTGCAGAATGTCCTAAACCAGAATTTGCAAAAATTATCAATCTTTATCACCATCCAGGCTGTGGAGGTACTACACTGGCGATGCATATTCTCTGGGACCTAAAGCAAAAATACAGATGTGCTGTATTAAAAAACAAAGCAATTGATTTTGAAGAAGTTGGAGAACAAATAATCCACTTGGTGACGTATAAGGCAACTAGCCACCAGGATTATATTCCTGTGCTTTTACTTGTGGATGATTTTGAAGAACAGGAAAATATCTACATTTTACAGAATGCCATCCATTCCGTTTTAGCAAAAAGAGATTTGCAATATGAAAAAACATTGGTAGTTATCTTAAACTGCATGCGATCTCAGAATCCAGATCAAAGTGCAAAATTAGCAGATAGTATTTCACTAAAATATGCTCTTTCTGCCAAGGAACAAAGAGCTTTTGAGGCGAAACTAGAAGAAATTGAAAAGCAACACAAAAACTGTGAAAACTTTTATTCCTTCATGATCATGAAAGGCAATTTTGATGAAAAATACATAGAAAATGTAGTAAGAAACATACTAAAAGAACAGAATATTAATAGCAAGGAAGCACAACTTATTTCTTTCCTAGCTTTACTCAATTCTTATGTTACTGATTCTACAATTTCATTGTCACAGTGTGAAATATTCTTAGGAATCATATACACTAGTGTACCCTGGAAGCCTGAAAGCCTAGAAGACAGGATGGGAACCTATTATACACTTCTAATAAGCACAGAAGTTGCAGAATATGGAAGATACACAGGTGTGCGCATCATTCACCCTCTGATTGCCATTCACTGTCTGAAAGAACTGGAAAGGAGCTATCACATGGATAAATGTCAAATTGCATTGAACATATTAAATGAAACAGTGTTCTACGATTCTGGAATAGGAAGAGACAAATTTCAACATGACGTACAGACTCTTCTGCTTACACGACAGCGCAAGGAGTATGGAGCTGAAACAGACACTTTGTTTTCCCCATTAATTGAAACTTTGAAGAACGAGGAAGTTAAAAAGGTCTTGACTAGAGGAAGTAGTCGATTCCCAGAAAATGCATTCATTTGTCAAGCTTTAGCAAGACATTTCTATATTAAAGAGAAGAACTTTAATGATGCTCTAACCTGGGCAAATTTGGCCAAAGAAAGAGCACCTAAAAATTCCTATATCTCAGATACACTTGGTCAGGTCTACAAAAGTGAGATCAAATGTTGGTTGGATAAAAACAAAAATTGTAAGGAAATTACTGTTAAGGATCTAACATATTTACTGGAAACTGCTGGAAAAGCTGCAAGAGCTTTCAGAGAATCCCAACAGCAAACTGATAGTAAAGATTATGAAACTGAGGCTTGGTCACCACAGAAGCCCCAAAGAAGATATGACACGTACAATACAGCTGGTTTCCTAGGTGAAATAGAAGTCAGTCTTTACACTATCCAGATTCTTCAGCTCACTCCCTTCTTTCACAAAGAAGATGAATCATCTCTAGAATCTATGGTACAGTTTTTATCTGGAAAGGAAAACATTTCCCCTGATCCAAAAAATGAATATTATTTGGCTCTTAGCAAGTTTACAGCCCACCTACAAAGTTTGCAATCAGATTTGATAAAGTGTTTTCATTTTTTTAGTGATTACATGGTTCTCCTGAAAACAAGGAATTTTCAAAAAGAAATGACAGAACTCAAACTCAGCAAGAAAGTCATTTTTTGTTACAAGACATACACAAAACTTTTCTGCCATTTGGATTCAACTCCATTACAAGGGAAAGAGAGTCAGTTACTCCAGGAAGAGAATTGCAGAAAACGTCTAGAAGCTTGGAGAGCAGATAGGTTTTCTGGACTCCTTGAATATCTTAATTCAAACCACAAAGACGCTGCAACCATCATGGAAAATATAGTGAATGAATATGCCTTTTTATTGCAGCAGAACCCAAGTATACGGTCAATCAAAGAGAAACAAAATTTCATTTTGGCCAACATTATTCTCAGTTGCGTGAAACCCAATTCCAAGTTTATCCAACCACTTAGTATACTAAAACAACAGCTCCGAGAAGTCCTGCAACTTGTAGGACTTAATTATCAATATCCAGATCCTTATTTCTTGGCCTGCCTCCTGTTCTGGCCAGAAAATCAAAAGCTAGATCAAGATTCCAAACTAATGGAAAAGTATGTCGTATCCTTAAACAGATCCTTCAGGGGCCAGTACAAGCGCATGTGCAGATCCAAGCAGGCAAGCACATTTTTCTATCTGGGGACCAAAAAGGGTCTCAACAGTCTTGTTCACAAGGCTGAGCTAGAGAAACACATTAGTAAAACAAAAAACACAAATTCCTTCTGGCAGAGTGGAGATATATGGAAAACAGAAGTCAAACACCTCCTGCATCGCCTAACTGGTCAGGCTGAAGGCAAGCTAATCTCTATAGAATATGGAATAGATGAAAAAATTAGAATACCGATAACGTCTGTGTATTCAAGTCCACTCAGAAGTGGTAGAAACATAGAAAAAGTTACCTTCTACCTAGGATTTTCCATTGAAGGACCTCTGGCATATGACATAGAATTAATTCAAGAAGTTAACAATAGCTGAAATATATTTACTTCTATTTGTCTTAGATTATACCTTATTCTGTCATTTTCATGAATTTATTGGCTTACCTGTAAGCACCAATTTCTCTTTGTCTCTCTGAAAGGATTACAAGTCTGTATAAGATATAAAAGGGGTCTGTTCCGCAGAGCGGCACTCTTACAGTCAATCATTTACTATTTCTAGTGTTAATTTTGAGACTAATACAGTTAATTAAAAAGTTTCAATTAGCATCCACTGGTTACTCATTCACTGGTTATTGGTTAATAAAATCTGTATTAAATTCAATCGCTTTTCTGTATTTTTCAAATTGTTTCTTCATCCTGAAAGTGAAGGTTTAACTAAGGTTTATATGAAAGAAAAAGCATATCTGGGAGTATTGATCTCACACTCACAGAACCAAGCCTCAGCTCCATTCTACTCATCTTGCTATCAGTAAAAATGTGAAAGATAAGTGCTTATTTCTCCAGTCTGCATTTAACTCTTCCCCAGTGCGCCTGCACGCATGTGCGCGCGCACACGCGTGCGCGCGCGCACACACACACACACACACACACACACACGCACGCACAATTCACTATACTTCTTAGCATCTCTCAATTTAGTGCACTGGGAGAGGAAAGAGCAAACAATGAAGTAATATCAAACTTGAACTCCCTCCATTTGTCTTGCCCCATTTCCATGTTAATATTTTCCTGTTACCGTTCTTATCTGCTACTCCTTAAAACTATATCTCCACCTGGTTTTAAGATTCTGTGTTAGTTACATTCTCATTGTTGGCATATGCACACACATTAACGGAAGAAAGGTTTATTTTAGCTTGCAGTTTATACAGGTTTCAGTTCCTAGTGGGCTGGCTCCAAAGCAGGGTGGTATGGCAGAGGAGAAATGGTTCACAGCAATACAGGCAGAAAGCAGCAAACAGCAAAGCCTGCCTTTTTCTGTCCCTTTATAAGCCACGCTATGTAAACAATATATATTAATGCCACCCACACCCAAGGTGGGGCTTTCCTTTTGGGTAAACCCATTGAGTCACACCTAGAACTATGCTAACACAACTACAGGACTAATCCAGATATCACACACCCTTCATCCATATGAAAGCCCCACCAGTAAGTGATTGAGGCTTAACAGATCCCATCTTCCTCAACTTCTTTTTTCCATTCTTTATAACTTTTGTTCTTTTTACTCAGTCCACGCTGGATGATTCTGTCTTTGAAAATTTGTTATTTTCATCCAACATTCTCCATATGGCTGTTCTATTTGTCCTTTACAGCTTAGTTCAAGAGTTACCCCCACACACCCAAGAAAACTTCCTTAATCACCCCAGTCCCTGCCTGATTAAATGGTTTCCTCATGGATCTCCACCGTCTGGTGCCAGGAATGACATTCCAGAGGGTCATTCCAAGACCTATAGCAGCCACATCTGGAATCTTAGGTCTTAAAATTGAAGAGCTATCAATTTCCAACAAAATAAACACAAGTGAATCAAATATTGAAACTAGTATGTTTACTTCATGTCTTTTTATCTCATTAAATGTAACCTAGATATTCTATAATATAAAACCAATTCTTTTTTCATCCCAAAATCTATTCCCTATCATGGATCTCATCACCAGTATTTCTCTGAATCAGAAATGGTCTACAAACACATCCCTATTCCTAAAAGCCACACTTGCTGCTGACCCTGCTCCAGACAGCTGATTTCCTCTTCTACAACCCACGTGTTCATCTGGAAAAGGAACTCTCCAAGTGGCTTTACTCTCCAAAGTGTTCACAGGAGATACAGGACTGTCCCTAAAATCCTCCCAACACAGCTGGTAAAGTTAGAAACAGTGGAACTGAGGAAGTCACTTCCATGCATTTAATTTTAAACAGCACCCTTACACCTTCCTCCTTCCATTGTCCTAAGAGAGAAAAAAGAATCAATCACATAACAAAAACCAAGTAAATCTCATAATGTAGGCAAAAGCATGTACTTGTTGGATCTCCTAGCCTGATTTTTCAGTCATCTTCACCCTACTCAAACCTTTCATAAATATGTACTGTGCATGCAATTAAGATCAGAGTGAATTCTGGCACTACAGTTAGAGCCTCTAAGATGACTCTGCACACTGTCAATCATTCCTGCCAATTGCACCTAGACTCTTGGGGGAGGCACCTGGGTTGAGGGGCATATCCTTTAAATTCTGAAAAACAAGTTATTCAGAGACTATTTGTCTTGCTGTTCCTCAAGGCTATTGTTACCAGCTGCTTGGGCTCATATTTTCAGGTTTGTCTGCTCATCACTGACAAAATCAAAAGAGACCATATATTTGGGGATAAGAAGGATTTATTTAAAGCTTTCTCTGAGGAGACAGAGTGGCCTATTTGCCTCAAATCACCATCTAAACATTTACAGGTGAGTAAGGCTCTTTATAGTAAGGAACGGGGATGGGGGCAGAGAGAGACAATGCAGATCTTCATGCTTGATTTGTCACTTCCAGCCATCTCCAGCTCATCTTCTTTCTTGTGGAAAAGAAACTAGTGTCTTGGCATCTGCATATTCTGTCACTACTTTTTTTTTGCGGGGAGGGGGGGGACTATGTCTCCAGTGGAAGTTTGGGCAAGTTGCTTATCTCTAAAAGAAAAAAACCTAACTTTTAAAGTTCCATTTTACAGTGCCACCTACTATCCTCCCACACACGCACATAAAATGGCTGGATGTCTTATGCTACATTATTGTATAGATTCCATCAAAGGTAGCTGGAGGACAAGAAAAGGGAACTCAAGTGCTTGAACCTGAAAAAGTATCACTAAAAGTCATGAAGTCAAATACCAAAAGCAGCCCAAATCAAGAGATAGCTACCTATTCTGCCTACTGGAATGGTTTTTTGCTTTTAGATGGTCATGAATAACCTCTGCCACTTTGCTTTAGTTTGGTAAGGTAGACATGCAGGTGACTCTTTGATGATGCTCACAACTAAATTATGAATAAGATTTCTTCTTTTCTGAAGGCAGTGCCAATGAACCATCTGTGGCCTTGTCCTGTAGTGCCAAGGAAGTTTTTCCCAGTGATGGTCAGTCAGAACATGTTCGATGTGACAGGTGATAGGAGTCAGTGTTGTAAACTCTTTGTGCCAATGGTTTACATGGCACATGGTTACATGAACAGTCTGATCCATCGTCAAGGTTAATCTTATATATTTTGTAATCAGCATCCTAACACATTAGAACTTTGACAAGCAATAGTTATAAAATTTATAAACAGACATGTATATCTCCAACTGGACCTGATTCTCCCACTCCCCAGCCTGCTTGCAAGCAGAAACACTGCCCTCTTCAGGAAATTCAGCTCAGCACCCAAAGCTGTCATCTGTAAGCACAAGATGTTGTAGAGGAGTTAAAATAGAACAAGGAATTTTGAAGGTCGTGGGAACATCTGGAGACACCCAAAAATTTACAACAGATACTTTACAGACTTTGCCCACTGAGGTGCAAGACAGCCACAGAAATTTGACCACAGATGTTTATTAATTCTTCCTGCCTAATGTCCCCTGCCTTCTTTCCATCACTATAAAAGGGACACATTTCTCTCCCTTCAGGGTGGATAGCTTTGTTGCATTGCTGCCTGTCTGCACACAGGTATATCACAAAAGCCCATCGTGTGGTCTCTTGCCTCACATTCATTACATAAACCAAAAAGACAAAGAAAATGCAGTTAACATGAGTTAAGAAACACAATGACCAAGTCAATTAAAGAAAGTCAATAATTCTGTGAAGTAAGCTTAGTTCTGCTAGAAAATATATGAAGCAAATACTTAAAACTCCCTCCTTTGGTGAACTGGCATTAATTACTGTTATAGGAAATAGGATCTGGCAAAACTGACTGGGGGAATAAGCAGGACCATCAATTACAAGACCCCAGGATAACAGCAAATAATTCCCAAGACCTTATATGTGCAACTTCTATTGGGCTTTCCCAAGATGTAGACTTCATATAAGGGTGCAGATACCATGGGAAGCCCACAGTCATGGTTTCCCATTAGAGTTCATACTGTGTTTTTAGGACATAGCGTGTCCTTTTATTTTTGCCTTTATCTTCTTTTTCTCTTGTTCTTCCCAAGTTTGCTCTGCAGAGCTGGTTTCTCCCTTACCCAGTCATCTTGCATTTTTCACATAAACATTTGATAACACTCTGGGTTGACTCATCCAATTCTTTGTTAGAGACAAAAAGCACCTGGAATGCTTCTGATTGGTGAGCCACTTCCAAATGCCCAACATTACCATTCAGAAGAAAGCACACAGTTTCTAATGCCAAAGCCAAGATTTGCAATTTAATCTCATCTTTTGGATTTCATAGGTAAACACACAGAGCTGTAAAAATTTTTAAAGCAATGTGCAAAAATTAATGTCTTTTTTACTAAGAACACACATTTTTTAGCAAGACTACCTTTTAGTGACCAAGAATATGACTTTTGACAATTATATTACTATAAGAAATATACAAGTTGGGGCCAGAGGTGTCGCTCAGCAGCATAAGACCTGCTTGGCAAGTGCAAGGTCATGAGTTCCATCCCTGGTACTAAAATAAATAAATAAATATACAAAGTAGCAGTTTAACAAAACAATTTATTAACTTTCACAGCATATTAAGTTAACAATCACAATGGATTATATTACACCAAGACAATTACATTTTTTAAAAACAAAAATCATATAATAGTAGTTTATGCAATAAGAATTGTAATCAAATGAACTTTCTTTTTTTTTTTCTTTGGCTGCTTTGGTTTTTTGAGATAGGGTCTCACTGTGTAGTTCAGGCTGGCTTTGAACTCACTGTGTAGCTCAGGATGGCTTTTAATTCATGGTTATTCTCCTGCTTCACCCTGCTGACTGCTGGGATTATCTGTATGTGCCACCATGCCCAGCCATAAATGAACTTCTAAGGCATTTTTAAAAATTTTATTTTAAAGAAGAAAAAAACAGAAAAACCAATAAGCAAGCAAACAAAAAACAACAAAAAAAGCAAAACAAAAAAAATAGTGATACAAGATTTCAAACCAAGAATTTAATTATCAAGTAACCAGATACAGGCATGCAAAGTTGATTGAACAATATAATTTCCCTGTGAGCAATTTCTAAAGCATTTTTTAAACATTTAATCCTAACAAGGCACCATAAAACACAAGAAAATTATTTTGACAAATTTAAAATCCCCTTTTTATAGTTTTGTTGCAAATTTTACTAAGAACAGATCAGTGTCCTAAGCCTTATGATTTGAAATAGATTCTGACGTTATCCCAGTG